TAAAACCCATCTGCCATTTGTTCGCCCAACTCACTAAATGATCTAAATCCTTCTGTAAAGCAGCAACATCCTCCTCACAGCTAGCAACACCTAAGACCTTAAGATCATCAGCCAATTTAAGTAATTTATTGACTATTCCTTCATCTATATTATTGATGTAAATCAAAAAGAGCATAGGTTCTAAGACTGAGCCCTGAGTTACCCCACTTGTGACATTAATTCAGTTTGACTAAGCTCCATATGTAACAACCCTCTGCTTTCTTCCATCCAGCCACTTTTCAATACAATTTGCTAACTTTAACGGAGATACGTTTTTACAAGCCTTTTATGTGGCACCTTGTCAAATGCTTTCTGAAAATTCAGATACACCAAATCTACATCATTACTCTCGTCTACACAAGCAGTAACTTTTTCAAAGAATGTTAAAATATATGTAAAGAAATATTTTCCCGTAATGAAACCATGTTGATTATCCAATAAAATTCTAAACTTTGTTAAATGGCTTTGTAAAACATCTTATATCAAAACTTCCAAAACCTTTCCCACAACTGACGTAAGACTAATAGGCCTATATTTACTGGGACAATTTTTATAATCTCCCTTGAAAATAGAAGAAACATTAGACTACTTCCAATCCTCTGGCACCTGCCCACTATTATTCAATCCTTACCCTCCTTCAAAACCCTTGTGGAAGTATTATCTGGCCAAGGAACCTTATCCTCACTTAAACATCCCAATTTTTTTTCTAAACAAGCTTAGAATTAATGTGATCATCTTGTTCGATCTTGTTTCCATCTATTAACTGTTCAAGATGAGGAATATTGCTTAAATCTTCCTTAGTAAAAACTGAAGAAAGAGCAGAATTTAATAACCCAGCCATCTCATAACCATCTATCACAAACCTTTCTTTATCATCCCTCAAAGGTCCTACCACCATCCTAACATATACTACATCATGCACGTAAGTGTAGTTTGATTGCCAAATGAGACCAGTTCGGATTATGTCATCCATGTACAAGCACTGTGACTAATTTATACTATATCATATGTGTAAGAGATGTTTCATTGCAAACCTAGACTAAATTATATTGCATCATATATTTAAGTACACAGTGATTGATAAGTGAGACTAAATTAGACTATATCATATAGATAAGTATAGTGTGATTGCCAAGTGAGACTTCATGAAGTATATCATACACGTAAGTACATTATAATTACCAAATGAAGCTAACTTATACCATATCATACATGTAGATGCAGCGTGATTGTCAAGAGAGACTAATTCAGATTACATGATACAGGTAGTGTACCGTAATCGCGCAGTGTGACTAAATCAGATTGCATCGTAGATATATAAGTGCAGTGTGATTGTTAACGGGACTAATTTAGACTATGTCATACATCTAAGTGTAGTGTTATTGCGAAGTTTACTAGTTTAGATTATAGGACATATGTAAATGTAGTGCGATTGCCATGTGAGGGCGATTCATGCTATATCATGCATGTAAGTACACTATGATTGCAATGTGAGACTAATGGAGAGTAAATCATACATATATATATACCTAGTCATTTTCAAGTGAGCATATTTCAAACTATATCATACACATAATTATAATGTGGCTGCCAAGAGAGACTAACTCAGACTATATCATGCATATATATATAGTGTGACTATTTCATTTCAAATAGGCATGCTTTGACAGCCAACAGAGTGTAATTCATACTATATCATACACGTAAAAGTAATGCGAAACTAATTTAGATTATATCATACATGTAGATGTAGTGTAATTGTCAAGAGAGATGAAATCAGTTTGCATCATCTATATGTAAATGTGCCGTGCTTCCCAACTGAGACTAATTCAGACTGTATCACACATGAAAGTACACTGTGATTACCAAATGAAGCTAACTGAGAATATATCATACACGTTAGTACACTGTTATTACCAAATAAGGTTAATTTATACTGCATCATGCATGTAAATTTAGTTTGAATGTGAAGAGAGACTAATTCAGGCTGATCATAAATGTAAACGAAACTAACTCTGATTATATCATATATGTAACTACAAAGTTATTTCCAAGTCAGAATAACTGAGACTATATCATACATGCAAGTGTAGTGTTATTGCCAAATAAAGCGAATTCAGAACATGTTGTACATGTAGGTGTAGTGTGATAACCAACCAAGATAAATAGAAACTATCTCATGCATATAAGTGAAGTATATTCGCGAGGTAAAACTAAATCAATTTGCATCATATTTATAAGTACATTATCACAGACCTAAGTGTAGTGTAATTGTCAGCTAACACTAAATCAGATTGAATCATATATGTAAATGTACTGTGATTGCCAAGTGAGACAAATTCAGAGTGTATAGTACATGTCAGTACACAATGATTGCTGAATGAGGCTCAAGCAGACTATAATATATGCAAGTGTACTCTGATTGTGTACTGAGACTAAGAATATTTCATACACTTGAGTGGATCATCTTCAAGGTTAGCTTATTGAGAAAGTTAATCACATGGGTAGATATTTTTAGAACAGCTTTCAAGCACACTATATTTATATATATCTAATGCCCTTACTTACTTGAAAACAAAGATATTTACCATTTACAAATACCTTACCAAAATATTCAGGACAAAACTGCTTTAGAAACAACACTCTTTATCATTGAGTAAAAGCCTATGGAAAGGAAACCGATTTGCAAGCTTGAGTATTACAGGGCGGAATTCTGTTAATATCCTTGACTGAGGTATTGGAGGAAATACTTTCCGTGATACCTCATGACTGGAATATAACACAAAATATTTCCGGTGTTATTTTCAAACTGAATTATCCAGGAATACTCCTTGTGATATTTTAGAACTAGGATACAGCAGGAGATACTTTTGGACTGAGGTATCACAGAAAAAATTTTCTGCAATATTCCAGATATTGCATATAACAGGAAATGATTCCGGTGTCATTTACAAACTGAAGTTTGAAGGAAGTAATGCCTCCCAGTGGCTTAGCGGTAAGTTCTGGGATTATAACAACAACAATCAGGTTTCGATACCCACGGTGGGCATAGCACAGCTAGCTCATTGTGTAGTTTTAGTTTTGTGCTTGACAGCAAACAAGCAGAAATCACTTACAGAGTAATTTACAAACTGAGAAATCGGAGGAAATAATTCCTGTTATATTTCATAACTGTAGAATAACAGAAAGTATTTCCAATGTTATTTACAAACTGAGGTATGGCAGGAAGTACTTCTGTTATATTTCAGAACTGTGGAATCACAGGAAGTAGTTCCAGTGTTATTTACAAACTGAGGTATGGCAGGAAGTACTTCCTGTTATATTTCAGAACTGTGAAATCACAGGAAGTATTTCCAGTGTTATTTATAAACTGAGGTATTGCAGGAAGTATGTCCAGTGTTATTTACAAACTGAGGTATTGCAGGAAGTATGTCCATTGTTATTTACAAACTGAGGTATTGCAGGAAGTATGTCCAGTGTTATTTACAAACTGAGGTATTGCAGGAAGTATGTCCAGTGTTATTTACAAACTGAGATATTGCATGAAGTATGTCTAGTGTTCTTTACAAACTGAGGTATTGCAGGAAGTACTTATGGTGCTATTTCCAAAATGGGGTATTAACCGAATTTCTTTCGGTAAAGCATTGCCGACTCTAGGAATACAAAAAATATTTCTAGTAAAATTTTCCGTAAAGACATATTACAGAACATATAAATTGTCAGAATTTATTGTAGAAAACGCTTATGGCGAACTATTTCCGAACCTATGTATTGCATGAAACACTTTATTTTAAGCGATTTAAAAGAAATTACTTCCCATATTTTGAACCCCAGATTTAAAAAAACAACAACAAGAAAAACAGCCTTCGTTGGAGCATCTATGAACTGAGATATTAGAGAAAATACTTCCACTAGAGTAGCTCTGAGATATTAGAGGAAATACTTCCGCTAGGGTAGCTCTGAGATATTAGAGGAAATACTTCCGCTAGAGTATCTCTGAGATACTAGAGGAAATACTTCGCTAAAGTATCTCTGAGATATTAGAGGAAATACTTCCGCTAGGGTAGCTCTGAGATATAAGAGGAAATATTTCCACTAGAGTAGCTCTGAGATATTGTTTTACAAAAAATACTTCTAGGAAAGTTTTCTTCTTCCTACAACTGTTCTATTAAACAAAAAATGATTTATCAAATTCGACAAACCAAGTAGAGTCTATACATTGTAAGTAGATTTCAAGTTTCCTTAACGCACACGAAAACTGTTGGACGTAGTTAACGAAATAAAAACATAGTGCTAGATTAAAGAAGGTGTTTAGATCAAACACATTATTTTCAAGAATTCTGAAACGACAAAATAAGCGCTATTGTTTTATCTATGTTTATATAACTTCGTTTTTTTTTTTTACCTTTTACCTATTTATCCCAACCTCTCTCTATCTGTGAGAACAAATAGAAAACAAAGATTGTTGCGGTGTTTGATCTTCTACCTAACATGTTACCATGATGTTAGATATACACTTTCCATTAGCATAGCTTGGTTTTGATCGAATAACATCACGCAAAAGCCCAATTCCGAACTATAAACTTTAGCTCGAGATACTAAGTAGAAAAAATGTGGGTTAGCCCAACGATTTTCTTTCTCCTGTACTTTAAAGATTATGTTGTGAATGTTATAGTCCACTACCTGTTGGAAATTTCCAGAAATTAACTGTAAACACTTTGTAGAATTAAGTGATTTTGATTATAAATAGTGAGCAAACATATTCTAATCTTATCTATTATTAAAGATGAATATTTTTAATAACAAGTGTTTGTTAATAAAGAAAACATTGCTTGTGAATGTCCCCTGTCAAAACAATGAAATATTTTAATAATTTTGGCTACACTGAATTACTTCTTTTTGCTGTGTCTCGAAATGCAAATGGCATTTTATATTCATGTTAAATATTTTTCATCTTGCAGGTGTATATAATAATTTCATTTCTGACACCGTGTCAAAAGGAGTTTTGTTTGGAGACAAGTCGTCAGCTTTTCTAGGCTATAATTCACCGAAACAAGAGCTGGACTTATCTACACGGACGTCTGTCATCAAAACGACTCACTTGCTGACCAGTGGTCATTATCCTCCACCATTGTCGCCAAGCGTCTCAGATGACAGCTATGAGAGACCACATGAGTTAGAGCTCCACACATTACAGGAAAACACGAAACAAGAGGTTTTTACTAACGAAGAGAGTTCTGAGCTTTTTAAAAAGAGCGTGACGGTAAATTATACATACGATGCTTTCTTCGTCAGCGACGGTCGGTCTCGCCGAAGGAACTCCATTGGACTCCCGGAAAGGGAACGGCCTCGTTACACCTGCTCCGAGTGTGGGAAGCACTACGCCACATCGTCCAATCTGTCTCGTCATAAGCAGACCCATCGCAGTCCAGACTCTCATCTTGCAAAGAAATGTCCGACCTGTGACAAAATCTATGTCAGCATGCCGGCTTTATCCATGCACGTGCTCACGCACAATCTCAACCATAAGTGTTCGGTATGCGGGAAAGCATTCTCTCGACCTTGGCTATTGCAGGGTCATCTACGCTCCCATACAGGGGAAAAACCGTACGGCTGCGCCCATTGCGGTAAAGCCTTTGCTGACCGGTCCAACTTGCGGGCCCACATGCAAACGCACTCCAGTTTCAAACACTTCCGCTGCCAGCGCTGCAATAAGACCTTTGCTCTCAAGTCCTACCTGAACAAACACTACGAGTCCTCCTGCGTGAAAGACTCTCCACCCGGAACCCCCGAATCCCTAGCTTGAAGTCGAAATACCCACTCAAAAGGGAGAATTTGTGATGTAGGAGTTCTCTTGAAAGACCTGGCAGATATTACTTTCTTTACCAAGAACATAGCAATAAAGTAATAAATTTCGCCTTTAGAAGCTCATCAACTGGGAGGCAATAAGCAACTAGCACGAGTGGCTCGTTCCAAAACAGCCCCCTAGCAATGATCTTCGCGAGACTTGCATCAGGAATGAAACATCCAGTTCGTCCGCTAAGTAAGATAAAAGCACAGCAGAGCTGTTTTACTTGGGTGTTTCAGCAATATCGTTTGAGGTAGGAATACGAACTAGAAGTTGATGACAAATGTATTGTTTCCACCACTTTCCAACAGTATGGGAATCAGTTTATTTTATTTTCTGTATATTGGATTCTTTGAAAGATGCGTTTCGTATCTTACAGCGAGAAGGACTTTGAACCAGTCAACTGTAATATGGGTATAAACACGATTAAAGGAAATGGAAACTTTCAGGTCGTAAAATAGAACGATACATTCGAGTGTGATTCAGAAGATAAAGAACAACCTAACATGTAAAAATCCTATTTTATTATAAGACACATAAAGCTTTTGGCAAACTTCTTTTTAGATACTTAGACTTTATGATAAACGAAGCTATTCTGGTGCTGGAAAATGCATGCAACATCCAAGTCAGAGATGGTGTCATTATTTCCTTTCTTTTCTTAGTAGGATTTATTCAAAGCCAGTTGAAATCTGTTGTTATTGTTGTAAATATAAGCGACGTGTGTGGGATTAAGGTGATGAAATCTGGTGTTATTGTTGTAAATATAAGTCACGTGTGTGGGATTAAGGTGTTGCGGTAATTCTTGAAGCATACAACTGTTCAGAAGCTAATAATACAAGAACATAAAATCAAAGAAAGTGCTTTAGTACAAGGTATTATTTAGAAAGAAAATATCCGTGTTTACAAACAGTGGTACTTCCGAGTCTGTTAACTATTATTATAATTATAAAACCTGTGGTGATCACTATATTTAAATAACGTATAAAAAAGCACACACCAAAAAGCAAAGAGTCGAAAATGTTCTACCTTTAATTTCATAAATTATTCAGAAATGAACTGGACCCTTATGCTCTAATACAAATATTTCTTTAAAGAAATAGCTAACTATTTATGTTAGGAACCTAGAAAAGTTAAAATTTTGTTATGGTCGAAATTTATTCTATGACTTAAATGAGTATCAGATGCTTCTGATAACATGGTGGCATTAATTAATATAGGATTATCATGTTAAACTGTAGCACTGAGTAATTTGCTGGAACAGAGTAACACGGTGCTTCTGATAACATGGTGACGTTAATTGACATAAGGTTGCCGTGTTAAAATGCGATAGCGAGCAATATGCTAGAACAGAGTAACACGATGCTCCTCTCATAACATGGTGATATTCAATGCAATAACACGGTAATGTGTTCGTGCACTAAATCTGCTTGTATCCACATATTTATAGCTATGGGCTCCTTAACTATAATGACTAGAAACCCATAGTCTGAAGAGGGGGTACTGATGACGTTCGAAAACACCTTTGATTAATAACCAGAAATATGTCCCTGAAAAAGGAAAGGAAATATATCTTTATCAATAGCAATGTTATTTCATATGCAATCATTAGATACAAGCAAAATCTCGGAACTAAACAGTTTCGAAACAAACTTTCAATAAAGGGGTCCCATGGTCTGAAATCAGGGTTTCGGGGGTTGGTCGTTTCCCAACATTCGACTATTAGAAACAGAGATAATACGTTGTGTATATATATTTGAGGCAAGGATCGCGGAAATACACGATGAAAAAATGAAAAACTTTGCAAAAATACAATATATCAGGCTTAGGCATGGCGGTATACAATATACTTTATGAAATACAGTGTAAATTTCACACTTTTAAATATTATTTGTTAAGTAATAATTTTTGATTTTGTAAGTTTGTGATAAAATATCCGGTTGTGAAAATGGGCAGATATCTATATGTACGCAATTTAGAGTCGATTAGGTGTAACAGTACTTGCTACATCATTTATCTGATGATCCTGAAAAAAACGTTCATCAATAAATGTTCTTTTTCACTCTACTTTTATCTTAAAAAAAAGAAACATAAAGCTTTACTTTTCTTAATCTTACCAAACACCAAATCATTTTCATTTCAAATTAACAGGAATTAAGTTTCTTTACTTATGTGGTGTTGCATTATTTATAATGCCATAAATGTTCTTTTTCACTCTACTTTTATCTTAAAAAAAAGAAACATAAAGCTTTACTTTTCTTAATCTTACCAAACACCAAATCATTTTCATTTCAAATTAACAGGAATTAAGTTTCTTTACTTATGTGGTGTTGCATTATTTTAGTTTATAGTAGGCTTAAGTGGAACTAAGCCTACTTTATACTTGTTAATGCAGCTTTGCGATCTTCTGGCGCATACAAATGAAAATCTTTCCACTACAGCTAAAACATAATTATAGTAAATTATCTGAACATTAATGCCATAAAAGTGCAATTTTCGTTAAATATTCGAATATCAACGACATCTAATTACTCAAAAGTATATTTTCGACTATTTAATTTTTTTCATCAATAGACTTAATATTTGACATATAACGTCTTGTTCCATTAGTTTAATATACTACAGTCTTAGCATAGAATTAAAGTATTCTAATAATTGCAAACCCACCATATAACACATTGCATGAACACAAACAACAGTAGTTGTAACAATAGTTACAACAGTAATTACCTCTGAAGGATTTTGAAATGAAACCAAGCTACATTTTTGTTAAAAGCTGCAAAAGAAATATTCAATGTGACTTATAGTTTCAGTTTCCACAGCTGGAAATTGATAAAGATGCAGTCGATCGTCAATTTGTCTTGCAATAGAGGACACATAGAAACTGTTGTCAGAATTGAGGTGATTGTGTATGTATTCCATATTATATTTTATTATGTGGCAATGTGCAACAACTAACGCAGAGTCTGGGAAACCTTCTGTTTGATTTATGACTGGGAGGCAGATCAACACATCACTAGGTTAAATAAGTCTATAAGTAGTGAGAGCGTGTAGTGTTATGTGGTACTCGAATTTTGCATACTCCAAAACTGAAACCTAATTAGATTTTATAAGTACCAGGATAGCATTAATGTATATGACATTAATTGTCCTATAAGGACCTTTAGATGAATTTTCTCCATTCAACTATTGTGTATATAAAAGCTCCTCTTAAGCTATGCAGTTTAGTTAGAACTAATTCTCTAGAACAGTTGGATTTTATTGTATTAGAGTAGTAACAAAGGACGTGTTTGACGCCGCGAAGTCCACGTCCACATTCATAAAGCAATAAACGTGTACAGAAGCATAATTCAGTAGAAGTAGCGGTTCAGTTCGCTCTTTGACTATTGATGCCAAAGAACAATATTCACTTTTCTAGGAAAGGTAAAAGCTGTAAGGTACAGCACCTTCTCTATTTTTTCTGATACATCTATGCGGTTTTTGAAATAAAACTAACGTAGCTAAAGGGTTAAAACCTTCTAAATTCCTGTTCTTCTCTCTATCTTAAAATAAAACGGATTTCAATAAAGCACAGATTTCTTGAGAAAACACGTTCTAAGACAAAGGTTTCGGATACAACGACCCGTAGTTTAATACCTTTTAATGATTAACTTGAAAGTACTATCTGTCTATCTAATATATTGTTCTTAGATTAGAATAAGATTTAATAACTTTAGCTTTAAACTAATTAAAAGTTTCAATATTGTTTGGATATGAAACATGCCTACCTTATCTATAGCTGCGAAGAAAAATGTTCGTCGCAAACAAAATAAAAAATTTTAAAAACTTGGTCTAAAAAAACAAAACAAAAATAAAATATATTTATACATATACCTCTTCCAGTTCCGAAAGACACAAAGTAATGATCGCTTAGCTTTATAAAAAAAAATATGAAAAAGTTACTTTCAATACGAGAAGTATTTAATTATGTAATCCAAGAATCACTCGAGTAATATTAAATTCAAGTAATCTCGCACGTTTCTTCATTCTAAACTGAGTAATCTCCGTCCATAAATTCCATCAGTTACTACATAGTTAGAAGGGTGATATGTGCTAGAAAAGGTCAGGGAACATCGGTACTACTTCGACTGGGTCATTTCTCTACAGTATGAACTCAAAACCTTGTGCTGTATCTTACAGTTTTGTTTTTTACATAGAACTAGTAACATTAGGTGGTATTAATATATATATATATATATAAGTAGAAGTAAAATTTAGAAAATTCCTTGTATTAATGTCCTCTATGCTTCGTAGGCTTAGGCGTACAGATTTCAGATACATGTACAAATATTATTAGCAATAAATCCATAGGTTTTTAGGTGTGGGTTAGGAAGATCTGCGAAATATTTTTATACTTTGGCGCAATGATGGCGCCACTTTATACTAAGATGTCTGAAGACATAAAGTGTAGCTAGCTTAATATTTCTTCCGATTTGAATTTATATTAGGTCAAAAAAAAACTGATATAGAGCCAGTAAAACGGTACAAATACTTCTTGTGTGCTTTTCAAATAAACAGTTCGAGTTGGCGGGTGTCAACGCATGCGCGTTGGAATGGTTCATTCTTTCCAAACTGGAACTTCTTTAATTCACGACTCACTTTCATGTACAAGTTTCATGTTCTCTTATGCATAGTTTCGTATGGCCTTTCAATATTCATAGTGTTTATTTATTTTTTACTTTAATGTTGCAAATACTTCGCTATCCCTTGAGTTAGTAAATCGTTAATTCCACACATTTTTCAGAAAACAGCAACTTGTTAGTCATCTCATTTATTTTTATATACTTACATTTTATGTGACATCTTTGGGAAACCGAAGTGTCAATGACTGAAGAACTGGTGAAAGTTTGTTTGATTTTATTTCTCGTACACAAAATTAAGCCCAACGAGTAAGCAATAACACCAAAATATAGTCAAGTTTCCTCTAAAATCAACTGTTTATGAGGCTGCTTGCTACATTTTCTAAATTCATTAACGGTATTCATCTTCCAGTAGCGAAACGTAATGCAATATAACTCGTGACCTATGTATTATCGTATCTTATAGAGAAACACAAGAACAAAAATTAAGCGAAAACAAAAATAATAAAAATACGCAGTAATATTAGTGTACGAGTAACGATATAGCTTCACGTCAGATTAATGTATTATTAATAACTGCGCAGTAACAAGCGTATTTACGGCCTTGCTTTCAAGTAATACAAGTGTAAGCTTTGTTGTTCGTGGTTTGAAATTTTTACCAAATTGATCCATAATAAAGTTGGAAAAGAAACGAAATTGAAATACGATAGTTTTAAGTTTTCACTAAATGGTACTCTACATGATCTAATGCAACTAAAATATATATATATATTCTGCAAAATATTATTCACATAATTGAAAATATTATTTTTATTCTGAGGAAAAATGTACATTAATTTTTTAAGGGTTATCAACTCTTTGGTAGGAGGCGTTGATAAATAACTTTTGTCACCTTCCTACAAAGCTTAGCTAAAAGTACAAGTAAATAATTATTTATTATAACTACAGACTACCTTTATATAACTTATAAGACCCCAAATGTTATTATTCTTTTAAGTACAGTACGTAGGAAGTTTATTAATGATAAAAGTCAGGATGAATTTTCACATTGCCCTAGACGTACACCAAATCTGCGGTACATATTGGGAATAAATAAAGTAACGAAGTCATTCAATATTTATTACCAGAGTGATTATTGGATAATAGCTGTCTCTAGTTAGTCTTAGCGATGTGGGTATATAAATAAAAGATCACCTTGTGCTCACGTTAGCTAATCTCGGAATATTCTAGGGGGAAACGTCACGTGACTTGCCTTGACTCATAGAATAATTCTTTGCGTCTAAAATAATTTTCAAATATAAATAATTAGAAATTCAATCTTTTTCTCTTTTAATTTCCTTGAAACTCAGCGATGTATCTTTATTGATCCTTCTTTAGGAGGACAGTTTAAATTATCTTCAGTAATTGTAATTATAATGTTAGTTTTTCCTTTGTAAATATTTAGATTACTAGTAATAATTCTTTGTATTTTACAGTAGAAATATATATATATATATAGGTTCGTCAACATAAGTCATTGTTATTTTAAGCAATAATTAAATCATATAGGTTCGCTATCGGTATGAAAATTTCATGTACGCGTTGAACTATGGATAAGAGTTGTGTTGCAGTAAAGTCGTCCAAAACAAAAGTTTACAGGGCGTTTACTCCTAAATATTTTAGAGTACCTGAATTTAAGAGTTGGTACCAATTGAGTTAGATATAATTTTGCAAAATTAGATATTTCAAAATTTCAAGTAACTGGTTTTTATGGAAATTTTATCTATATACATTTATATACATCAAATGTTTTGTTTTGACGTGTGCTTGTTTTATTTAACAATTGTGCAATGTTTGTTACTTTCAGTATTGAGAATAAAGCACTTACTTAAAATTGTGTATCCAAGGCTCTTTCTCTTCGGTCGTCACAGATGGATAATATTTCTACAACAAAGAATCAATTTCGTGTTGCCACATATCAAGCCACAAAATCAATGCTTCAGCCGACTTCTTAGAAACGATTGTTGACGATAAGCCTTGAAAACGTACTTGAAAGATATTTCAACTATGATTGATTCCTCTATTCACCCACAGTTCATTTAGTGCATAAATACAAACTAAAAACATTGGATTTAACTAAAGCATCCAAAGTTAATACATTGCAATTAACAGAGCTTTTCCTCCAATCAGAATCCAAGATTTAAACAGAACACTACTCAAGTGTGCTATCTAAGATTCAACAATAACATTACTCACAATGTATTATCTAAGCCTAAAAAATGATAATATTCAGAATCTATACGCTGAGATTCAACCAAAACACTACCACAATCTATCTTTTAAGAATCGACTAAAAAGCTACCTACAATCTAACCTTAAAGAATTAACCAGAAAACTATCCGCCATCTATTTTCTAAGATGCAACCAAACCACTATTCACAATCTATTTTCTAAATTCAACCAGAAAGCTATTGACAATCGACTCTCTAGATTCAATCACAATACTACTTAAAATCAAAGAATAAACCAGAGAATACTCACAATATATTTTTACGATTCAAC